ATATGATGCTTAAGGCAACTACCGTGGTACCTCGACGCACGAATGCCTTGGTTCATGACCAAAATGGGTCGCGAACAAAAGTTTCATGAAAATTTTCATGTGGGTTGCGAACTCCACATTGGGTGGTGACCAAGATCGCAGCCATCTCCCCACCCCCACCCACCGAGTGGGGAGATGGCCGCGATCATGCTGGGGGGGTGGGGGCGAGATGAGCAAGATCATGCCCATCTCTCCCTCCCCCAGTGCACCCACGATAGCGCCCATCTCTCCCCACCCCAGCATGCCAGGATGACAGGTACATGCAGGGATGACAGGCGTGATCTCGGTCATGCTGTGGGGGCAGGGAGATGGCCACGCTTGTGCTCGGCTAGTGGGGTGGGGGAGATGGCTGCGATCTTTTTTGTTCTTTGTCACTTTGCTTCACATTTTTCTGATTTAAAAAAAAAAAGGTTACAGAACAGATTAACCTTATTTACATTGAACCTTATGGGGAAATTTAACTTGGCTCATGACCAATTTGGGTCATGACCAGAGTCCTGGAACAGATTAAGTTCGTGAACCAAGGTACCACTGTAATAGTAAGATCCAGATTAAAAACATCTCATTAAAAATAGCACATTAAAAACAAGAGATATAAGCTATGCCAAACAATGAAAGAAACTGTCCTAGCAACAGAGCCCAGGTGGATTGAGGTGGAAACATGCACCTCATTTATCCTTTTACTGGATTTATATTGCATCTGTCTTCCATGGAGCTTAAGATGGTGTAGATCATGGGTCCTCAAACTATGGCCCATGGGCCGGATCCAGCCCACCATGCCCATTTATCTGGCCCACCTCAGAGGTTTTAGATTCCCCACACTCGCCACCGCCACCCACCTCACCACGCAAGTGGCAAGGTGGTGGCTTGCTCGCTCAGAGATGGTTTTGGACTCGCTCGAAGATCTCCAAGTGGGCAAGCCACCACCATGCACGCCCACTGCCACTTCACTGGCCTGCGCCCACGGGCACCCCTGCCTCACCGGCCCACGCCCGTCACCGCCACCTTTCAACTGGCCCCCTGTTGAAAAAGTTTGAGGACCCCTGGTGTAGCTAGTTCTCCCTCTTCATGTGTATCCTCACAATCCTGTGAGATCAGTGAAAACATGATGAGCGCAAGGTCACCCAGTAAGCCATGTGACTGAACAAAACTTTGAATCCAGCAATTCCTGGTTGTAGTTTGTCACTCTAACCACTACACTTGCTTGATGAGGGCAATACATTGAGCATGTATTGATGCATTCAGATCTGCACAGTATCCGGCAGTTTGGCTCTTAGAAACTGAAAGGCCAAATGCTACTTTTCTGCAGCTGTTAAGCATTGTTTTGGCACCAGTGCTGTTTTGGCGCCAGTGGTGTTTTAAGAGACTTCTGGGTGCTTAATGTTTAAATGCTTTCCTGGATCAGGTTTTTAGATTGCCTGTAAAGGAAACTAATACAACTTAAACTAAGTGTTCAAATGTTATAGACAGAACACTTACATTGCAATTGTCTTTCTACATTAAAACATGGTGGCTTGGAATGCACCTGAACGTTATTTTACAAATTGCATTTGTAGAGCCAGTCCCTGCCACCACTGCTCTCAATCCCTATACTTCGAACACTGTGTGCAGAAACCTCTATATAAACTGGGCTGCACAGTCTGCAGGGGCCAGCAGCCACCCTGACAATGTCAGTGCCTGGAAACATGTGCCAATGTGCAGACTCAGTCTTGCACAAAGTCAGTTAGAAATAAGTCTGGCTGAGCAGGTTTGCAGGGCATGAGCTACTTTAATTCTGATACACCTGCCCCCTTGTTCCTCCCAAGGGGATCCCAGAGGACACTTCAGGAGCATTGCCTCCCCACCACTTCCCTGCCATGATCATGAGCAGTCTTTTTGGCTTGCCACAGCTTTTTGCCCTTTGATTTCAGACTACGAAAAAAGCTATCCTTCACCATCTCCCTTTTAATAGTTGCAAGCAACACCTTGGAGGGGCCATCCACGATAATCCTGTGTGTGTGTGTGTGTGTGTGTGTGTGTGTGTGTATTAATTGTGCACAAACTGGTGCACAAAAAAACCCATATTTTCTATTTTTTTCTAGTCCATCTTTGCAATCTCCCTGCACCCCACAAAACTGGAAAACAAAATGTGATGCATCCAAAATTGTTCACAGGGGGAAAGAGGTAGCCCCCACTACCTGCTTCCAAGCAGGTGTTTGGGTGCTACCTGCTTCCAAGTAGGTGCTTGGGCACTTCTGAGGCAGCTGGCAATGGCACTTGCCCAGGAGCCACTCAGCAAGAGGACTTTGCTGATCCAACTAAGCAGCTCACTTGCTAGTGGGATTGACACAATGGGTCCTGTCATGCACACTCAGATGAGATGGCAGCCCACAGTGGGTTAAGCAACCCCAATAACATGCCATGGGTTATCAGAGTGGCTTAAAACCCATATTTAAGCCATCCCAACAAACCCACCCCAGCTGAGATTCACACAGTGCACTAATTAAAGTTTATAAGCTACAAGTAAGTTGCTGTGTTGTGCAAAGCAGTCACTGTGTGAAAAAAGATTAATCCCAAGTAAGTGTGCATAGAAGTGCAGCCTAAACAAAGTAGAAGGCTCATACAGTGAGATGAACTTGTGGATCCCAGTCCAAGAGAGTTGAGGCCCTTTAGGCATGTAAAAAAGTAGCACAGGCTCACTGTGTAATATTCTCAAGCCGTTGGACTTCAAGGATTCCTCTTTGATGCAAGAGTGCACACCATCACATAGATGAGGACTTCAAATAATACAGATAGAGAAACTTGTTTAATTTATCTTCAGAGGTCTCATCCCAAAGAATGAAGACTAGTAAATTGGCTTCTCACAGAGTCATATCGTCCATGATACCACACAATTGTAGACATCAGCTTTCCAACTTACAAAGCCCTTTGATCTGTAGATAATAAAATGTGTAACATCTGTTCACCTGAGGCAAACTGTAATAGTTCCTAGAAGGCCCAGTGAATCCAAACTCATTGATTCAAGATTAGATTCCAATCAACTTCATATTCACTGACCTGTGGCTACATGGTATATCAACTTCAGGTTGTGTAAGCAACCAGTCAGCTCTTATTGTAAACACACACACGAACATACATAATGTATCATCACAGGCCATTAAATACGAACATTTACTTTCATTGATTGCAGTGAGTTTAAGTAAGCCTAATTTTGTGTTAGATGGTTTATTTATGTTTAAAATTTATTTGCCACCAACACAGCTTTTAATTAAAGCTTTTGGGACAGCTCACAAAGAATACAAAATGTGCAATAAAGTTTAATATATTTTAGAAAAAATATCAAATTACCATAAACTCCTTAGCAAACACCATAAATTCCATAAAAACAAAAGTTCATTTCCATGGGATGGAATGACTTTTATTAGGTCTCCTAAAGTTTGTAACTGATGAGTTCTACTGTGGTTCTCCTAGGAGGAAACTCTGCTATCATATAGAATAGACTCATTATATGTTTGGTTAAGATTTAAACCTCATCACCCATGTGCAGGGCTGGACAGTTTTTTATAGTACAAAGATTACTTCAAATGAGTAATATGAAATGATATATTTGTACCTCCTTGAAGGGGAAGGTGGCATGCACTTGCTGACTGCACATCAGTTACAACTTCCTGATTAAAAGTTACTCGTTCAATTAGTCCATGTAAACAGGCTGACTTCATCTGCCTCTTGATGATTGTAACATACATGAAGGTACTTGTAAGTTCTGGGGAAAATTGATGTCCCAGGTTTGTGAATGTTACCCATAAAAAAGGATGTCCATATCAATCCTAAAGTGCTGGGGTCTGATCTTCAAGGCAGTTCATACTGTTCTCAGCTCAGTTTACACAAAGTTGGGGTGAAAATTATATTTAGCAGTAAATTCAAGCAAAATGGACCAATTTGTTTAAAAAGATGGGAGTGGCCCCATGAGTATTTGTTCAATTGGGAATTTAGTCCACCAGTCCATCTGAGGTAAACACCTTTGTTTGATGACCTACAGATCTAAGAACAGCAGCTCTGTTCAAAGATAATAATGAGATTACCCACTGGGAGGGTGAGCAAAATTCAGAGATTGAAAAGAACATGTGGATTCCACTTGTCTGCCACCTCCCCAAGACCCCTGTAGCCTCTAGGCCAGGAGACAAGGCCCAGAGAAGTTATCCAACCCACCATGGGCTAGACTGGGATCCACTGTAGGCTGGATTAGGTCATGATTTGGATGCTGCTCCACCATCCCTATCATAAAAACTGGGAGTAGCAGCTCTCTTTTCATCTGTACATCACAGAGTAAATTTAATAAGATCAATGGAGCTGTGTGCTTAAGTGTGTAGCTTAAGGTTGTATGCTTAAGTGTGTGCTCAGGTTAAGTGTGTTCTCTTTCAAGTTGAGAACCATTTCTACATTATATTAATGTAGACAGATCATTCTCCTAAAAACTCGCAAATGTATTTTTCTTCAGATCATAGTTGCAAGGCTCCTTCTTTAGCAATTTTCTGTTCTTGTGAGTAACAGTAGCCCCCACCCACAAGCCAAAGACCAAGGCTAAAAGTGTACGTAATGACAGTACCACTCTCAGTTGCCTCTTCATTTAAGGTTAGTTTACTCTTGTTGCTTATTGTTGTTTATCTCAGTACAGTGCTGGCTCCTAAAACATAACTTTCTTAATGCGTTTGTGTGGCGTTTTTTGTTTTTCACCAACTTCCTTGATAAAGAGAAAGTCAACTAGATTTGGCAGATATACAGGCACCTATAATGCAATACTTTCAAAATGAGTTTTGGTTGTAAGAATTTCTAATCATGTTTGATCAATGTATTTCTTTTCCAGATTTGCCTAACGACTCCTGAGATACAATATAAAAATAAATGACTCCTCAGATAACATATAAGCATCCTGGAGCTCTGCTGAACTTAGCATAATCATTCTTCATACCTTCTCTTTACAGGGGGCAATCCATATACCTGGTGGATTGGACGTGCCAATGAAAAGCATTACTACTGGGGTGGCTCTGGACCAGGCATTCAAAAATGTGCTTGTGGCATTGAACTTAACTGCACAGATTCCAAATACTACTGCAACTGTGATGCCGATTCTAAACAAGAGTAAGTCACTGTTATATACATATTAGCAATTTCCAGTGCAATCCTACCCAGAAGTAAGTTCAGTGGGACTTACTTCCAAGTTTGTGGTTATAGAATTACAGCCTAAATCTCTCTCCCATAATAATAACACCCAAATCATGCAGTGAAACACATGAGCTGGGACAAGCACAACTCATAATTAACTTGGAAAGTTAGTTTCTGCAGGATGGGATTATGGCTACTAGGCAACTGTTAAATGATTAGATGAAAAATAGGCCGATCAGCCCTAATAACCATGTTAGTTAGGTGGAGGCTCTATATTCAGAGGCACTATATCTCAGAGGATGAGATGCTAAGATAAAGCAACCAGCAGCCACATTCTAGTCTTTTAGCTTATTATCATTATTTCCATACTGGATGATGAGATGTATTTACTGTGTTGGTCTGCATGCATATAATAAACAACTGAATTGTTGAAGCATTCCTTCCTCTCCCTGACTCCACATTAAACAAATAAGGTTAAATTTGATACTAAATAAGATTACTCTAAGAAGAGCATTCTCAATGGAACACATTTTTCACATGTTTAGGGATATACAAACATTGTAAAATGCATTTCATCTGTGTTACATAAAAACATAGAAACATAGAAAGAGAACAAGTCAGAAGGGGTCTCCTGGGCCATCTAGTCTGACCCCTAGCTCCAGCTGGCTCCGCTCACAACATGCCCACCATGTGCATGTCAAGCCTATCTTTAAACACCCTCACTGATGGGGCCTCAACCACCTCCCACAGAAGCCCATTCCATTCCTTTGGGGTCCAAACTGTCAGGAAGTCCTTCCTGGCATCCAAATTGAACCTTGGTTCCCTGTGCTTCACTCCATTGGAGCGTGTCATGCCTTCCTCTGCAGGGGAGAACAGGTTTCTACCCACCTCCGTGTGACATCCCCTCACATACCTGTATGTCGCCAACATATCCCTCTGAGTCTCCTCTTCTCCAGGCTGAAGAGACCCAGTTCCCTCAGTCTCGCCTCATACCCCATCCCCTGCAAACTGGCCACCAACCTTGTGGCCCTACACTGCACTGACTCTAACCTGGCTATATCCTTCCTGCAATGAGGGGCCCAAAACTGAACACAGTACTCCAGTTGTGGGCGTACCAGAGTCATATAGAGTGGAAGTAATACCTTTCTCAGTCTAGAAGCCACACTTCTGACTATACAACCATGGGTGGCATTCACCCTCTTGTCCACCACATCACACTGCTGACTCATGTTTAGCCTGCAGTCAAGCAGCACCCCGAGATCTCATTCACAAGTGTTGCTTTCCAGCCATTTGTCCCCTAGCCTGTACTTATGACACCCATTCTTATGCCCCAAGTGCAAGACCTTGCACTTATCCACATTGAACAGCCATCCTGTTATCTCCTTTTGGGTCTGGAGTACCTGCTCCTCAGTTGTGGCCACTGCCCTGGTTTTAGGATCATCTGTGAATTTGATCAGCCGACTGTTCACCCCTTCTTCCATGTCACTGATGAAAAGATTAAACAGGATCGGCCCCAGGACAGAGCCCTGGGGGACCCGGCTTGTCACTGGCCGCCATCCTGATGATTCCCCACTAATGGTTGCCCTCTGGTGTCGGTCAGTCAACCATGCCCTAATCCATTGGACAGTGCATTGGTCTATCTCAAAACTCCTCAGTTTCTCCACCAGGATATCATGGGGCACTTTGTCAAAGACCCTGCTGAAATCCAGGTAAATCACATCCACTGCATCCCCTCCATCTAGCCACCTTGAAACCTTGTCATAGAATTCCACAAGTTTTGTCTGGCAGGACCTGTTATTGTGGAAGCTGTGTTGTGTGGCTGCCAGCCTCCCTTCCCTATCTAGCATCACTAGATCTCTTGCTATTAGGAGCCTTTGCATTGTTTTTCCTACAATGGACATAAGGCTAACTGGTCTGTAACACCCCATGTCCCTTCTACTACCCTTTTTGAAAATTGGGACCACTGACGCCACCCTCCAGACCTCTGGAACTTCACCTGTTCTCCACCAGGCCTCAAAAATGGAGGCCACCAGGCATCAGAGAACCCCTGCCAACTCTCGAAGTACTCTCAGGGGTAACCCATCAGAGTCTGGCGCCTTTGTAACATCCAATGCCCTGAAGAGCCTCTCAACTTCTAGGGAGGTGCCCCTAAGTCCCCGGCTTCATCTAATCTCCCATGCGGATCTCCCCTGTCCTGCTTTGGGGAGAACACAGAGGCAAAATAGTCATTTAGCATCTGTGCCTGTTCCCTCACATCAGTCACTGAATGCGTCTGCAACGAGCCTCCTCCCTGCAGCATACCCTTTTGTCTATTTGCCTCAGTACCCATTTCCTACAGAGGTTCCTCTTGCATCCAATCCCTCTAACCACCTCCTTTCGCATCCATGGTGGCACTCTCCTTCGCCTCCCCGCCTTAGTGACTAGAGGTATCGTCAAGGCTTGCGCCTCCAAAACCTTAGTTTTGAGTGCAATCCACCCTTCCTCCACTCCCTTGCCTTCCAGTAACCTATCCCAGGAGACTTTCCACAGTCTGGCCTTCAGTTGGCCAGAGTTGGCCCTCTTGAAGTCCCAGCTTCTAGTGCTTGACCTGCTGCATGTCCCCATTCCCCTGATCTCAAAGCAAAGGATGGAGTGATCACTCGCATCCAGAGCTCCCCTAATCTGTACCTCATCTATCAGCTCTTCCCTGTTGGTCAAGACCAAGTCATAGATGTTCCCCCCCACATCACCTCTCGGACATCCTACATGAAAAACTCTACATCTATAGCATCTAGGAAGCAACATGACCTGTCTGTCTCTGCTGAGTGAGTCTCCCAACTAATATCTGGGAGATTAGACTCTCCCATAATTACTGTGTCCTTCCCCCAAGATATCCTTTGAACCTGATCTGTCAGGACATCATCCAGGGTCTCAAGTTGACCTGGAAGGTGATAACATACCCCCACTGTCAGGTCCCTCTCCCTGTCAAAAACCCCTTAGTTTCACCCAGACTGTCTCTACCAAATCCCCATATGTGCTGCATTCTATCTCACTGCATCCTATCCCTTCCCTGACATATAAAGCTACGCCCCCACCCCTCTTTCCCTTCCTGTCCTGTCTAACAGGTGATACCCTCTGTGTTTACATTCCAGTCTTGCCTTTCATCCCACCAAGTTTCTGTGATCCCCACCAGGTCATACCCTCCTATCCCCAGGAGAGCTTCAAGCTCTTCCTGCTTTTTATCCATCCTCTTAGCATTGGTGTACATGCACCTGAACTCCTTCCCACAGCTTCCTTCCTTTGGAGTCCCCAGCCTCCTCCTTCCTCCTATCTTATCTGATACTGGCCCCCTCTTCGTAGGAGTCCTGTCAGTCCCTGAAGTAGCCCTAACACCCTGGTCCCAGAGCCCTGATCCAGTGTGAACAAGTTTCTGGGGGGCCTGAACCCACCCCGCCCAGCTCAGTTTAAAGTCTTTTGGACAAAGCTCACTAGAACATTTCCTATGGACCTTTTCCCCATCCTTAAGAGGTGCAACCCATCCCTTGCCAGAAGTCCATTGGAAAGAAACCAGGTGCCATGGTCGAGGAACCCAAAGCATTCCTTCTGGCAGCATACTCTAAGGTAGTCGTTCACCTCAGCAACCCTCCTATCCCTGCCTGGCCCAAATCCCCAGACCAGTAAGATAGATGAGGAGGCCACTTGGGCCTTTAGGTCCCTGAGTTTCTTCCCCAAGGCCTCGAAGTCCCTGGTGATCCCGCCCACTCCCTGACTGGCTACATCATTTGTGCCCACATGGATCACCAGAAGTGGCTGGTGACCCCCGGAGCAAACAAGTCACTCTATCCTTCACATGCTGCATGCGGGCGCCCAGTAGGCAACAGACCACCCTTGTCTCAAGGTCGGGGAGGCACACTGAATGCTCCTCAGCAGGGAGTCCCCGACAATGATCACCTGCTGTCGTCTCTTCCCAGTGCTGGTAGGTGGCCATGCCCCGGCCCTCGCCTCTCCTGCAGCAGCCTCCTGGCTGCCTGTGGTCCCAGGCTGGGGGTCTTGCTGGTCCCCCAAGCTTCATCAGCCCCAGCCTCCCAAAGTGGAGAGAACCTGTTTCCCAGCTCTAGATCAGTACCAGGAGAAGGTCCTGTGGGTGACAAGTCTCCATGTCTCCCCAGCTGTTCCTCCTGTGGCCCCTCCCTCAACCTTTTATCTGGAGGGGGAGAGCTCTCTTGGCCCTCAGACACCTCCCCTCCTCCTCTAGGAGGGTCACCAGCTTGCACCAAGGGCAAGTGTATCCCTGCTTCTCCTGAGAAGGGTGAACATGTCACAGCTGTCACAGCAGACAGCAACACCTGTGATTCCCACCAAGGCCATCTCCTGGTCTGCCATTGGGAACCCCTCAGAGACCATTCCTTGGTCCTCTGCCTTGTCTGCCCTGCACTACTCCTCAGTTGCCCAGTTCTTTCAGACAAAAACCCACAAGGACAAAATAAAAATTAAGAAAAATTGAAAAGAAAAAGAAAAATTAAAAATAAAAATAAAAACTTGCCTCTGGGGAAGGGAGTCCCCGGGCAGCCTGGGCCACAACTAAGTTATGCAGACAAGGGACAATGCCTTATAAGCCTCTCAGGCCACTGGCCCCACCCCTCTGCTTCCTCCTGGCCTCTCTGGCCCCACCTCCCTTCCTCTCCGCTACTCCTGCCCCTCTGCTCCCCTGCCCACCTCCTGCCTTGCCTTCGTCAGTCTCCTGGCCACCCTCACCACACTCTCCTAGCCTCTGCTGCTCTGCTCTGTGTTGTGTGGTTTCTCAGGCACCTTCCTTTCTGTTGTCTTCCAACCAACAGAAGCGGATTTTGTGTAAATGCAAATCTACACATTTGTACAAATTCACACTTCTGAAAACACACAAATCCACCCTAAATGTATATTTTCATGTTTTGTCCTATGCACATTTTGGTTGTTATTTTTTCTTATTTTCATGTGACTAAATCCACATACAATTA